GGCATAAACTTTAGAAACACATAAATAACATAAAATCCAGACTTATATATTAACCAACAATAGAATCAAGTACAAAAGATAAAGAGTTTGGAAGGAATGTAACCATTGTCACATGAGTTCATCTCCTTGCCTTCTTCATCCTTCATCTTCATCCTAATCTAGCTAATATAAAAGAATGATGAACTAACTAGCTAAAACTATCCTACACTAAGGAAATGGAAGAACTACATTTCTGCCAATTTCAAGCTTCTCTCGTATGTCTCTCCATTCCCCTTTTCAATATTTGCTAACTAGAGAGAATTTGCTATCAGAAAATCTGGCTACGTATGGATGTTCAGACCTCTCCCAATGTCTCTGCATAAAAACTGCTCAAGAGCTTCATTTTTCCAAGTCAAATTCCACCTTTTGATTTCCAAATCTCAACTTTGTTAGGATAGTCAATAACCAATGTTTTTGACTTGAAAATAAGCCATCTTTCTTGCCCTTTTGTCTTCTGCAGCATGTGCATCGAATTCCCTTGTAACTTATAGTTGGAAAGTAGTCTGAACACAAGAGAAATGGCTGAGCGAAATTCCAGAATTTCGGCTACAAAATGCGCCTACACAAAATGCGGCATCAACTCGCGTTTTCTCAACTCGCATTTTCAACTTGGCCTTGATTTAACTACAATTTTCTCTATGATGAAGGCCGAACTACCTTTTATGCAAATACAAAAATTGTAGCCCTTTGATTTAACTTTCCAATGCTTCAAGAATCATCCAAATGGAAGCTTTGTAGCCTAAGATATGATGGAAATACTATCATCTGGTCAAACCCCTGTTTCGATTTTCAACCACAGAATGCAGCTTCTGTATTCTGACTTTTTGTCCATGAAAACAGCAGAATTGGATTTCGATGTCTCACAAAAATTGTAGGTATCTTTCTTAGCTTTAAAATGGTATAAAGATCACCTCAATCCGATAAGTGTAGCTCCAGATATAGTCGAAATACCAAAGAGTGTCAAAACTGTCTTGAACCGCACTTCTTCACTTAAACGTTTTTCACTTCATTTCTTTTTTTTACCACTTGAATTCATCACCAATTATCTACTTTTCACCTCATTTGACATCCTTTAGTGATTGGATCGTTAACCTGCAAGAAAATGAAATTTTTACCATTAAAATCAATAGAAATGCCATATTAGCCACTTTTACAAAAGTTGTATATTTTTACCAAAACCTAATTATGTTAGTTATAAAACTAAATAATCAAACCAAAATTAACTAATAAAATGTACTTAAAAATACGTAAAATAAACTCTTATCTATGTGACAACAAGATAATATGCATTTCCAACCAAACTGATATTGGAACATATGTTGGTTCGTATCCGAATCAACATTGGTAATTTTAAACCTGAATCTAACATAATGAAAAGCTCTGGATCCGGGTTTAGATTCGGATCCAGACAGGTCTCAATGTAGAGGGTCGGATTCCGATCCTGGTTTGGTATATTCATTTTTAAAAATTAATTAAGTATGATAATTTTTTTTACATATAAACTTTATTAGTACAATAATAAAAATTAAATTAAATTAATTCTAACAATCATTTGTTTTATAAAAAATCTTTTTAATTTAAAAATAAGTAGATTAGTAACAAATTTTAATGGAATACATAATTTATTATTAAAATAATTATACTAATTGGATCTAGGTTCACCACGGGCCGAAACATGTAAATCCATATCTGGCTTGTTTTGTTTCTATTTAATTTGTATATATTTGATCCAAATTCCACCCTGATTAAATTTGAATAAGAGTGCAAAACCCAAATATTAAGAATAGTCTTGGGCATTATTGATTATTTTATAAGTTCTTATTGTTTCCTTCATATGTAATTATGCAATTGCTATGTCATTTTTATAGTTTTTTTTGTAGTAGTTGGAGGTATTATAAGATGGTATCGGTTTTTCGTTTGCATTTTTAAATGCCAATACTTGCAACCATTATGATCGATTTTTAGTTTTATATGCTTTTCATATTCTGAGAGGTAAAGTTAAATATATTGTAAAAATGTTAAATCAAATTGCAGGTTATGGTTTTCTTTTTTTTCTTTTGCTTCAATTTTACTTTTCAAATTTATTTTGAAACTACAAATATAAATATATTTTAAAAGTGTAAGCCAAATTGCAAGTTATGGAATTTTTTTTGCTTCAAATTTTAACTCTTCAATTTGAAGGTTGAATATATATTCAACAACAATATTTTTCCTTCAAAAATTTGAAATCATTCAATTCAAAATTAATATGAAAAATAACAAAATTTGGTCTTTTATACAATTCATTTTTATATTTTACTAGTAAAATGCACTTTATAATAGTGTAACATGGACATATGTTAAGTTATGTTTTGAATAAATAATAGAGAAATTAGAACTCTCTGACAACACTACTTTTAGTGAGTGTTCTACATTTATTTGTAGTGATTGAATAATTGATGAATGATAAATGTTAAGTGCCTAGTTGACTGATACTTCTTGGATTATTGACGTTTGAATGGTTTAAGTGCCTACTGTTTTACTGAAAAGTGAGTGTGTACTTTATTGCACTCGACCTAACTACTCTTGGAAGCTCTAATTGTTTAACTGCTACTATTAACTATGCATGACTGTTTTGGGTCCAAACTCCATCGATGGTTGGCCTAGTCGAGCCAACAATGAGTTTAGTCGAGTAGGTCGATAGTCCTTGGGTATTGTTTAATGGTATACTCGAGTATAACCCACTGAAGTGATCATTGAACATTGGAAGAAAGGAGAATGTTGGTTACTGTTTAATAGGGGAAATGACATTGAATTACTAAACGGAGCTAAGTGCTATGTCTGGAAATGGACGAGAGCCACCTCTAGTGATAGCATCATGGTACGTGGGCAGGCCAACAATGGCTCGAGTAATCGAGGAGTTGAGGATCACGTGCACGCCCCAAGTGGACCCATTACTAGGGCTCGCGCAAAGAAACTTCGTGAGCAACTCAATGTACTTATTCAGGCCATACACAAGTCCTTTGAAGGATTCATACACTCAAGTGAAGGTGGTCGCGGTCTGATAATGAGCATTGAAGCTACACCTGAGGATTAGGGTTTTGCCAAACCCTAATTTCCGTTTTAGCATCATAGTTAGTTATTTTCACATTAGTTGATTAGATTGAATAATTGGCTAAGTGCATATTGCACGTAGAATCGCCAAGGGTAGGATTGGTAATTTACTCATTATTAGTTGCTAGAGTGGGCTGCCTAGGAAGGAAAGGCCACATGAGGCCTAACCCGTCGGGGGTTAAGCCTCCCTTATTAGGGCCCATATCCACTGCACCCTTTGTCCATTTTCTACTAGATTAGGGTTTTCATTTGTAGCCTATATAAGGCACCATATTACACCAATAAAAGGTAGACACTTTTATGATAAAAATATTGAGAGAGTTTTCTCCATAGCTTTCGAGCAAATCTTGAACAACTTAGAGTTATACTCTAGTGTTCTTGTTCGGCTTATCAATTCAAGAATCGCACTTGAATTGTGGCGCCTTCTACACTTGCCTGAGGTTCACTAATTCGTTTGGTTACGGGTTGAGATAATATCAACAAGTTCGTAGTCACGGGATTAGAGGGGTCGTAGGGTTTCCGCTGCTACCATTCTTGCGTTCGAAGTCAAATCCAACAAGTGATCTTGGGTCGCGAATCTTCTCACCAACCAGATTCGTATCAGCTGGCATCAGAGCTAGCTTGTTGGTAATCATTTTTATCCCTCTTTTCGTGTCTTTTGTATCTATCTCGTTAGAAAAAAAAAAAAGGAAGAAGAAATCTATTCATTCCTTCTTACTGAGTTTCAATAGTTTCCAAAATCTGTTCGTCTTTCTTGTTGAATTTTAGTTGTTTCCAAATCTGTTTATGTCATTTTTCTTGAGTTGCTTATCATCTAGGAAAGTATTGGTACCTTGTTCTTGAAATTCTTGCGTCAAATTTGCTGGTTTCACGAAGATCTTGAAGGGATTCTGGATATTCTTGAAATCTGGAAATTAGCCTTGATATTCTTGAAGTTATTTGCTGGAAATTGTGGTTTGATCTTGAATTCTTGAAATTTTCTTGTGCGTGACATTGAAACATACCTGAACTTTGAGCTCTAATTGTTGGGAACCAAGAATCACAACTTGCCCAAACATTAAAATCACCAAAACAGCCGCACCAAAGCTGCAACCAAACCTGGAAATTTGTGTGTTTGAGCCGAACCCATAGTTCATCTTTTGGCTGTATAAAAAAAAAAAAAATTGTTGCAGCAGCCAATTTGATCTTGAAAGGAACAAAATAAACTGCCCATCTTGTTCCACAACCAAGTAAGGGGAATCGGGTAACACCAAGCAAGAAAAAAGGCAGCTTCCTAATCTCCAAAACCCGAAAGATTTCTAAAAGCCAAAGACTTCCAAAACTGATAGGCTAACTTTTAGCCGCATCTTGTTCCCTATTTTATAGCTGCATAGTGCCTAAACTCCTGCCTATCTTTTAGCTATATCACCTGCTATATTTTAGCAAACGGCCCAGAGAAAAAAAAAATTCCAGCAAAGCAAAAGGACCATTTTCCTGTCGGTTAGAGTTTTTAGTGTCGTTCTTAATTTTTTTCAGCTTTTGTGTCAATTCCTTTTCCAGTTTTTAGTCTTGAATATATTCTACCACTCCATTCTTAGTGTCCTAATTTTGTTTTCCAAGAAAATCTCTACTCTTACGAACCTCAAATTCTAGCGTGAACTTGTTTTTGGGCTACACTTGAGCACTTGAGGAGTTCTACTTTCTTCAAGGTTTGCAAGGGGTTGTGAGAAATTTTGGTGAGCTCATTAGAGTGATCTGAGTGACCATACACGAGTGTGAGAGTATACACTTAGGGAGTGAAGTGAAAAAAAAAAAGAGGGGAGACAAACGTTTCTTTCTCCTTTTTCCCTTTCTTTGCTACTAACCCTTGCAGGTACACTTGAGACTTCATGTCTAGTGGCAACGAAGGAGTATCTCGTCCCATGGACTTTGAACAAATGATGGAGCAAATGGAGAGACGTTTCCAAGGCATGCTAGTACCCATTCAAGATGAGTTGCTGCAACTCCGAGCGTCTGGAACACCAAAAACCACTAAGTCCATGCGAAGGCGAAGGGAAGTGGAGGAGTCGTCCGATGGTTCCAATAACAATGATGATGATGACGAGGAACCTCCCTTTCGGGCAAGACGAAGGAACCCGACTGGACCCGCTGATGTATTCAAGGGGATCAAAATGAAAATCCCTGAATTCAGAGGACGGTCCGATCCCGAGGCCTTTCTCGAATGGTTATCCAAGATCGAAATGGTCTTTTCTTGCCAAAACTACTCCGAGGTGCAAAAGGTCCAATTGGCAACCATGGAATTCACTGAGTACGCTGTGGTTTGGTGGGACCAAATCAAGAAGTCTAGAAGGAGAAATGGACTCCCTGAGCTCGTTCCATGGCCCGAACTTCGAGCCATGATGCGCACCCGCTTTGTACCTGGACACTATACTAGGGATTTGTACCACCGACTACAAACCCTAATTCAGGGCAACCGGAGTGTGGATGAGTACCACAAGGAGATGGAGATCCTGATGCTTAGAGCGGATGTACAGGAGGATCCTGAAGCCACCATGGCGAGATTCTTGAGCGGGTTACGACCCGATATTGCTGAACGAGTGGAACTTCAACATTATATGGAGTTGCATGAGCTTGTTGACAAGGCCGTTAAGGTCGAGCAGAGGCTCAAGAGAAGGGGTACTACTCGACCGACTTTCGGTAACACCACCTACTCTACCAACCGCCCATTCCAACCACGGAATGACTCCCGGCCTTCACCAAATGCTCCTACACCAAAACCGAGATTCGAAGGAGGTAAGGTGGGCAACCCTAGTATTAGCAAGCCGCCCTCTTCTACTCCAAAATTTGAGGAGCCTAGGGTACAAACTAGAGCTCGTGACACTCGATGCTTCAAATGCCAAGGTAGAGGCCATATTGCTAGTCAATGTCCCAATCAAAGGACTATGATTATGATGCAAAATGGTGAGATCGTGAGTGAGGACGAAACCGAGTACGAAGGCATACCACCTCTTGACGGAGGTAGTGAGGGGGAATCGCCAAATGAAGAGGAGTTTAGTGCACCCGAGGGTCATTTTGGGACTGCTTTGGTTGCAAGGAGAGCATTAACTGCACGTGTTAAGGAGGACGAGCTTCAACGGGAGAACATTTTCTACACCAGGTGCTTTGTCAACCAAGCACTTTGTAGTATGATTATTGATAGTGGGAGCTGCACAAATGTTGCTAGTTCACTCATGGTGGACAACTTGAAGTTGCCTACAAGGGATCACCCGCGACCCTACAAGCTCCAATGGCTCAACAACTCTGGGGAGGTTCGAGTAACCAAGCAGGTTCTTATATCCTTCCAAATCCATAAATATTCTGATGAAGTATTATGTGATGTAGTTCCTATGCAGGCTAGTCACATTATACTAGGTAGGCCTTGGCAGTTTGACAGACAGGTGACTTTTGATGGTATGACTAATAAGTATAGCTTCTTGTACAACAGTAAGAAAGTCACACTAGCTCCCCTTTCCCCCAAACAAGTGCATGAGGACCAATTGAAATTGCAACAAGAGTTTGAGAAGTATAGTGCAAAAAGGAAAGAAAATGAGAGAGCCGAGGCAAAAAAAGGAGAGGAAAAAGGCTATAGATAGCTCGGCAAGTGAGGTAAAAATCGAGGGAAAACAAATGCTCCTGATAAAAGCCAAGAAAGTGAGGAAGTTAATGAGAGATGAGCAGCCACTTCTTATGCTTGTTAGCAAGGAAGTAGCTCTGAATATGCATGAACTTGATACTGATATACCTCTCGAGGTTAAGTCTCTTTTACAGGAGTACGCTGATGTCTTCCCCGAGGACGTGCCAAGTGGATTGCCACCACTTAGGGGCATTGAGCATCAAATTGACTTCATCCCTGGAGCTTCATTGCCAAATCGCCCAGCTTACAAGAGCAACCCGGAGGAGACTAAGGAGTTGCAAAGGCAAGTGGACGAGTTGCTTGGCAAAGGATGGGCACGTGAGAGTTTAAGCCCGTGTGCTGTTCCAGTCATTCTGGTGCCCAAGAAAGATGGTACGTGGAGAATGTGTACTGATTGCAGAGCCGTAAATGCCATCACGGTAAAGTATCGCCACCCTATACCTCGCTTAGATGACATGCTTGATGAGTTACATGGGGCTGTGTTCTTTACCAAAATTGATCTCAAAAGTGGGTACCATCAAATTAGGATTCAGGAGGGGGATGAATGGAAAACTGCCTTCAAAACTAAGTATGGCTTGTATGAGTGGTTAGTGATGCCTTTTGGGCTAACTAATGCACCTAGTACCTTCATGAGGTTAATGAATCATGTTCTGCGTCCATTCTTAGGAAAATTTGTGGTAGTTTACTTTGACGATATCCTAATTTATAGCAAATCTTATGATGAGCACCTAGAGCATATTAGGGCTGTTATGGATGTACTTCGAAGAGAGAAGCTCTATGCCAATCTCAAGAAGTGCAATTTTTGCACTAACGAACTTGTGTTCCTAGGGTTTGTTATAAGTGCGCAGGGAATGAAGGTGGATGATCAAAAGGTAAAAGCTATTCAAGAGTGGCCAACACCAAGGTCTGTGGGTGATGTTCGAAGCTTCCATGGCCTTGCGGGTTTCTATAGGAGATTCGTGAGGGACTTTAGCACTATTGCTGCACCCTTGACCGAGTTGATCAAGAAGAATGAGAACTTCCATTGGGGAGATTCTCAAGAACAAGCCTTTCGCGCTTTAAAGCACAAACTCACACATGCACCTGTACTTGCTTTACCTGACTTTTCTAAGACATTTGAAATTGACTGTGATGCTTCAGGTATTGGAGTTGGAGCTGTGTTGAACCAAGGAGGAAGACCTATTGCCTACTTTAGTGAGAAACTCAATGGGGCTGCGCTGAACTACTCAACTTATGATAAAGAGTTGTACGCCCTCATTCGAGCACTACAAGTTTGGCAGCACTACTTAAGGCCTAAGGAATTCGTGATACACACTGATCATGAGTCCCTTAAATACCTTAAGGCCCAGCACACCCTGAGCAAAAAGCATGCAAGGTGGATCGCATTCGTGGAGTCCTTTCCGTACGTGATTAAATACAAGGCTGGTAAGTCTAATGTGGTTGCGGATGCACTCTCACGAAGGTACTCTCTACTCCTCCTTAGATGCTAAGTTGTTAGGGTTTGAGCTGATTAAAGACATCTATGCACAAGATAGTGATTTCGGTGAACTTTACCTTTCTTGCAAACACACTGGGCAAGGTAAATTCTTCATTTCCGATGGTTACTTGTTTTATGCCAATCGGCTTTGCATCCCACATGGATCCATCCGCGAACTTTTGGTACGAGAATCCCATTCGGGTGGCCTTATGGGACATTTTGGGGTTGATAAGACTCTTGCCATGCTGCAGGAGCACTTCTATTGGCCGCACATGAGGAGAGATGTTGCACGGTGTGGAGAACGATGCTTAGCTTGTAAGAAAGCTAAATCCAAGGTACACCCGTATGGCCTTTACACCCCGTTACCTATTTCTAGTGCACGTGGGTTGACATTTCTATGGATTTTATACTTGGTTTGCCTAGATCCAAGTATGGCCATGACTCCATTTATGTGGTTGTTGATAGATTCTCTAAAATGGCACACTTCATTGCTTGTCATAAAACGGATGATGCATCTCATATTGCTAATTTGTTCTTTAAAGAGATTGTGCGATTGCATGGCATTCCTAGGACCATTGTATCTGATAGAGATGTTAAATTCCTGAGCTATTTTTGGAAGACACTCTGGTCTAAGTTAGGCACCAAACTGCTATTCTCTACAGCGAGCCACCCCCAAACTGATGGTCAAACTGAGGTGGTAAATCGTACATTAGGTACCTGTTGCGTGCCATCATCAAAAAGAACTTAAAATCTTGGGAGAGTGTTTACCTCATGTTGAGTTTGCTTATAATAGGGCTATCCATTCTACTACTGGTTTCTCTCCATTTGAATGTGTTTATGGTTTTAATCCGCTAACACCACTTGATCTAGTGCCATTACCTAGTAATGAGCGCGCACATTTGGATGGTAAGAAACGTGCAGAGTTTGTTAAGCAACTGCATGAGAAAGTCAGGGCTAACATTGAGAGGAGAACTGCTCAATATGTCAAGCAAGCTAACAAAGGTCGCCAAAAGTTGATTTTTGAGCCTGGCGATTGGTGTGGTTGCACATGCGCAAAGAACGCTTTCCTGTTCAAAGGAGGAACAAATTACAACCACGGTGATGGACCTTTTCAAGTGTTGGAGCGCATCAATGACAACGCCTACAAACTTGACCTTCCTGGTGAGTATGGAGTTAGTGCTACATTTAATGTCTCTGACTTAGCTCCTTTTGATGCAGATGATGCGTTTGATTTGAGGGCAAATCCTTCTCAAGAGGAGGGGAATGATAGCATCATGGTACGTGGGCAGGCCAACAATGGCTCGAGTAATCGAGGAGTTGAGGATCACGTGCACGCCCCAAGTGGACCCATTACTAGGGCTCGCGCAAAGAAACTTCGTGAGCAACTCAATGTACTTATTCAGGCCATACACAAGTCCTTTGAAGGATTCATACATTCAAGTGAAGGTGGTCGCGGTCCGATAATGAGCATTGAAGCTACACCTGAGGATTAGGGTTTTGCCAAACCCTAATTTCCGTTTTAGCATCATAGTTAGTTATTTCCACATTAGTTGATTAGATTGAATAATTGGCTAAGTGCATATTGCACGTAGAATCGCCAAGGTAGGATTGCTAATTTACTCATTATTAGTTGCTAGAGTGGGCTGCCTAGGAAGGAAAGCCACATGAGGCCAACCCGTCGGGGGTTAAGCCTCCCTTATTAGGGCCCATATCCACTGCACCCTTAGTCCATTTTCTACTAGATTAGGGTTTTCACTTGTAGCCTATATAAGGCACCATATTACACCAATAAAGGTAGACACTTTTATGATAAAAATATTGAGAGAGTTTTCTCCATAGCTTTCGAGCAAATTGAACAACTTAGAGTTATACTCTAGTGTTCTTGTTCGGCTTATCAATTCAAGAATCGCACTTGAATTGTGGCGCCTTCTACACTTGCCTGAGGTTCACTAATTCGTTTGTTACGGGTTGAGATAATATCAACAAGTTCGTAGTCACGGGGATAGAGGGGTCGTAGGGTTTCCGCTGCTACCATTCTTGCGTTCGAAGTCAAATCCAACAAGTGATCTTGGGTCGCGAATCTTCTCACCAACCAGATTCGTATCATCTAGAGTCCATATCAGTACCGTATCTTTTTATATTAATTGTATTACTTGTTTTAGAATATTAATTGTTATGTGTTTTTGTTGGGTTGTGAGCTTTGTGATTCTGTTGGACTACTGTGTGAGAACCTTAAACCTGTCACATTTTCCCAGCCTTTTAGTTTATTCTCACTTCCTCTTTTAAGTGAAATTTGTTAACCATTTGTTTAAACAAAGGAAGGTTTTTTTTATACGTGTATTTGTGTTTGAGATATGTATATATGTGTATGTGTTGAAGTACGGTTGAGCGTGGCAATCAAACTTGGACAAGAGGAAAATTTTTGCGAAAGGACTGAGGGGCCAAATCCGGCTAGTTTTTGGCCGGATTGTTGTAGTTTTTGAAAAAAAATTATTTCCTCTCTGGCCAGTATCCGGCCAGGAATCCGGCCAGATTCCGGCCGGATTCTGACATGTCACAGCCAGTCAGCAGCTTTGACCAGCTGTTTTCTTCCTACTTATCACGTTTTGGCCTCAAAATATCTCATTTTCTTCCCTACACAACCGTGCATCAAGAGAGAAAGGTAAAAAAAAAACTCTTCATTTCCAACTTCAATTTTTACTTGGATCTTGATATTTCACCGATAGATTTTCAAACCACTCCATACAATTGCTATCTAAGGAGGTTTAAGAGGTTGGTGGAGTTGTCTTGGAAGGGGAAACTCTAAGTCATCACCTTTCTTGAGTTATAAGGTGAGTTGCCAAGCAAGTTGTTTTGTTGTTTTGATAATGGGATATTAGTGCTAATTGAAGGTTTAATATTTATATTGTGAATGATTTCATGGTGTTAAGTGAAGTTGTCCAATTTCCAATTTATTGGGGATTTTTCTGATTTTATATGATAGTCATGGACTGGACTTGGATTAGTGGTTTAAAATGGTGTTAGATGGGACCTTTATACGTTAATTGCGATCGCTTGCAGAAAATTTATGCTTGAGGGATGATTTCCGGTTTTAGGTTTAAATTGGGGATTTTTCAAAGATTGGCTTATAAGCTTCAAATTGGCCTTGATTGAAAGGTTTTACAGCCTAATTGAGTGTGTTTTATTGCTTGTTAATTATGTATGTGATGATGGTTAATTGCTATGAGTAATGGGTATTTGAATTGTAGGGTAAAGGGAAGGAAATTAGGGGAAATGCTGTCCGTTTCTTTTCTTGTCTAGTAAATGAGTTAAAGTCGTTTTACAAATGTGTTTTGTATCAAGTTGGACGTATTTCCTTGAAAATGTCATCGGGTCTTCAATAAGGGTTCGAGGGCTAAGTTTCTATTCGAACTCATATATTTTCGTTTGGCAAATAATGTGACCGTTTTACCTTTTAAGACGATACCTCTTCCGTTTGAAACTTCAAATGTTCCTTACGCCCTTTCCAACATATAAAGGTATGAGTTAGGGTTTTATCGACCACAAGTGAATTACTTTTAAGCGAGGTTTTAAGGGTGGTAGTTAAAGTATTTTGTCCTCCTTTTCACATGATTTTCATCAAGGCATTGTGTCGCGTCCCACTTTTTGAATGTGTGTGAAAGTGGTGTGTGAGATATGTATGTGAACGTGTGTGAAAGTGAAAAAGGCCGTGGATTGTGAAAATGCGACGTTTTGGCCAAATAAAGTTCAAAAAGGGTTTTTGGATAAAAAAATGGAGTCGCCACTTGGTACGGAATTAGGTGTACCAAGTCACCCAAAAATGATTTTTATTTTTTGAATGAAAAAGTAACAAACCCTTTTTTAAAAACTTTTGGTCTACGTAACCAAAGAAAGGGATCGGGGGTCATTTTGGTAAGGGAGAAGGCAAAGGCGGAGCCTAAGGCACTCCCTTACCCTAGCCAAAGCTAGTTGCGTGACTTAGCCCCACTTTCCTAATTTTTCTACCCAAGGTATGTATCGCATGTTGGATATGACTAGATGAATGCGAAATGGAAAGGAAAATGCAAACCTAAATCTAATATGTCTCTTATGAGATTTTTGGTCCCAATCACATGGGTTTGTGATGGCCAATAGGAAGAATCTCATAGAGGTCATAGGAAATGCAAATGAAGACTCAAATATGTGTAAGTGTGAAAATGTATGAAGGATGCGAAATGTAAAAAAAAGGTAAGTGCAAGTGTGCGCATGTAAAGAAAATGTATGTGTGCCTATTGAGAAAGTAAGGGTGGTTGTGTGCAGGTGAATGAAAATATGATAGTAATACCTATAAGTGCAATTGGGTGCAATTTGTGAGTTAGAAAAATAAATAAGTGATAGGAAAAGTGGTGAGAAAGTATAGATTGAGAAAAGTCAAGTAGTGAAAAAAATGTGGCTAAAAGAGTGTGGATGTGATATAAAAGAATGCAAGTGTATGACCCTAAGGGAATGCATCAGGTCGGGCACGGGAAGGACTCCTAACTTTACGACTTTGATTTTCCCTTGGATTAGAAGGAAGAACTAGCGTGCTAAGGCTATTTTGTAGCCAAACTCGCTCGTTTCCCTTATCGAAAGGGGACTCTCAAGCAAATGTACCCTATAACTAGCATGAGGATGCAAAAAGCCTAAAATGAGGGGAAAAAGGATTGGAGGAGCATGCCAAATGATAAAAACTAAGAAAAATGCATGAAATATAGTGAACATGCAGGTATACACTAATGAAGAAGGGACGGCCTATTGGGTCTAGCATTGGACTAGCCCTTTCTATGGATTCCTACTAGCATTGGACTAGTGGAAACGACACACATTCATTTCAAGTCAAATAAAGCATGTAAAAGCTAATAAAGCAAATAAACACATAAGTCACATATAGCACATAACACATAAGCATGTCATCTAGATGCTAGGCCCTAGGGAAAGCGGTAACACATAGCAAGTAAGAATGCAAATCACGCAAGGCAAATGAAGTAAAGGAACCCCTAACTATTACACTCGGGGAGGCCCTATTACAATCTAAGGGGAAAAGAACAAATAATAATAAAAATAAATACCTAACTATTACAAATTTGGCATTCAAGTGCCTTTCAAATGATAGATATACAAAGCTAGAGCTAATAAAGCAAATAAATAAATAAATGAAATAAATAAAGAAAAACATTCAAAAGGCATGCAATTAAACATGTAAAGTCACATAGGGCACATGGAGCCAAATAAAGCAAGAAATAAGGGATTAGGGTGTACCTCCTTGAATTGGGGTTCCAATTGAGTGAAACCACTTATTTACCCTCCAAAATAATAAAAGAGTCAAGGCATCACTTTAATCAAGAAATAATCACAAAAAGATAAAAGTAAACATGAAATTGAATCAATTAAAACATGTAGACCACCCACATTTAAAAAGCCAAAAGAAGAAAGGACTTGATTGCAAAAATGAACAAAGTTTTGGGGTCAAAATTAAAGAAAAATAAAGCTTAGGGACCTATTTACAATTAAATTAGGGACCCAACGGAAAGAAGTGAAAAGTTTCTAGGGCCACAGTATAGTTATTTAAAAATACAGGGACTGATTTGCAACTTCGTTTCTAGTCTCTTAGGAGACAAGGCCACTGGGCCATTTTTAACCTTTCTTAGGCCAAAACAAATTGGCCCGATCGGAAGTCCAAAGTACTGAAATGGGCTAGCATATTATTTTGGCCCAAAATTGGCCAACCAAATAGATGGGCTTTGGCTCTCTAGCCCAAACCAAAAAAAAAACAAACAAAATAAACTAAACAACTTTCTTAAACCCAAACAAAAATAACCTCTTAGCCAAACACTTATTTCATTAAACCAAACAAGATAAACAAATCAACAAAATTATTAAGCCACAATTATGACCCACAATCAAGAATTAATCTATCCACAAGTCACATAAAATATGCAAACAGAGGATTAAACTTAAAAGGACAAAATTAGTTCACTTATTCCAAGTTTTGGGCCATAGCAGAATAAGGGGAAGCTGAGGGGTTAAATTGCAATTTTCAGAAATTAATGCTCCATGCCTCGCAGAGGCTTTCTTCTTCGATGCAAATAAGAGGGAAAGTTTCTGCAACTTTTGATGCTTCTCAAATCTAGTAAACTATCGACAAAACACTCAAACATAGCATCTCAACATGCAAATGACAAAAATGGAAGAAATCAACTTCGGAAATCATGATTTTCTTTCCCTCTGCTCGACTAGCGAATGCTCAGGTTCTGGCCAGCTTTGCACTGGCCAGAACTTTTCTCAATTGCGTACAGAAATTACATACAAATCTCCTTTTTGGTTCAAATTTCTGGTTCAGGCATTTCATAAAACAGGTAAGGGGCGTTAACAACATTGAAATGATTCATCAATTTGCTCAATAACAAAAGCCAAAATTTACAACAACCCAATCAGTTTTCTTATAGACAAGGTCCGACACATTAGGGAGAGATGA